CAACATCGTGTCGCCCGATGTACAATGGAATGGCGAGCAATGGGTCATGTACTACAGTGCCTTCACCCAGGATGACCATGACGGAAAGCGATGTATTGGCGTAGCATTTTCCGACTCGATACGCGGCCCCTACGAACCACGAAACGAACCCCTCGTCTGCCAACTTGATAAGGGCGGAGCCATCGACCCAAGTGCTTTTTATGATCCAGGCAGCGATACGAGATGGGTCGTATATAAGATCGATGGGAACCGGATCTGCGGCAAGACATCTATCATGCTGCAACAGGTGAGTCAAGTCTCTACTATTCTGGAATCTTCGCGTCTGTACGGATCATGACTGACATGTTCCAGGTTGAGAATGACGGTTTTACACTGAAAGGCGACCCAGTCGAAATACTCGGTCAGACTGACGACGAAAAGCTGCTTGAGACGCCTAGTCTTGTCTACGAAGATGGTTCATACCTCCTGTTTTACAGTTCTGGGTGTTACAAATCAGACAAGTATAGCATCAAGTACGCAACGTCGGGTAGTGTCACAGGCCCATACGACAGAGGAGATGATAAGGTATTGGGCTCGATTGCTGGAAGCATCAAAGGTCCTGGAGGTGCATCCAGTAACGGGAATGGACATCTGCTATTTGCGTAAGTACTCTATAACGTCGTTGGACGATTTGAAGAGTTTACCATACTGACGCGTCGATTAGTGCTTGGTGTGATAGTGATCTCACCACACGATGTTTATATTCCGCTAGCTATAGATTCAAGGACGGGCAGGTCACATTGAATTAATAGTTTGGTGGTGCGGACGTGTGTAGGGCTAAGGCGACGTAAGCAGGGCCAAAAGTCTGGCTCTGTAGTCGTCTTAGCAGTGGATACTCTCGGTTGGAGATTGCGGAACAGACCAAAGGCACCAACGCACCGTTACCAAATTCATGGCCTTTCGTTATATTCTCTGTACTATAGACGACATAGAGCAGCACAACATACTCATAATATAGTCAATTCTTCGCTTGGTTGCATGCACCTTGCGTACATTCCTCACTATAGAGCTGTGTCATACTAAACATTGGCTTTCTCCCATGACGGCCAGGCTTTATCTATCTGGTGACGTACATAAGGGAGAGGGGCTCAAATATCCACGAATGTCTAGGGTAATACCTCAGTAGTTCAGAGCTGTGTATTTGTTGTTGCATTGAAGCTAAATATCTGGCTTCTGGCAAGAGTGACCCGCCAGAGCTGAAGAGAAAAGTAGTCATTTTAACATGAGGGCTGATAATCGGTTGATAGACTCTTCGTAACACCTGTGAACCTGCCCTCCGGCGACCACATCCATCCATATCAAACAATTAGTTTTCCTCAACCGAGGAACTTGATGCGAGCAGGTGACTTATCAATCGACATACATTGCAGGACGTGATAGGCACACAGTGTTAGCTCCGATCTGAAGAACATAGGTCATAGTGCACCTAGGTGGGGGTGGGTAAGGACGACAGAGTTTCGTAGCGAGAACATTCTTAGATTTCCATCCATAGAACAGTTTGTATATGATCTGTCCTTAATCTGAGGATTGAACAGTCTTTCAGGGTTCAGCATACTATTCATCCTGTTGTCACCTGTGTCTGTGACTTCTCGCGGGGGGGTTGCACCTCGTGTTGGTTAGTTTGAGAGTAAATGCTGGTTCAGGAGTGAGGGACGGGGCCATTTGAGCATCGAACGGGAGATTATGAGCACCTGAATGAGTACCAAGACGGGAAACTATTGGGGGCCTCGGAGACGAGATGCGAGGCGGAGTGAAGGCTGCATAAAGTTGCGACAACAGCTCCGTATGCTGCTATTTATCTTGTTACTACCCATTTTTGGCAGAAGCAACTATTTGCATGTTGTGGCTTACCTCTCAAATCAAGATTAAAAAATAGACTAGATTGTCTCTTGAACAACAAGTCACCTTTCTCCCGAGATCAAAGAGCTCAATGGCCAAGCTGAAGGCGACTGCACTCTACCCCAACCAAGTTAATTCTCGATCAACACAACAATTTCTCCACTCAGCGCGCATGATGCTGGAAATAATTAGACAATTTCACCCATGCCTTGTGGCTGAGTACTTTGATGATCTTGGCATCTGGCATTGTTGTGGGGCTGTATCGCTATTCGCCTCGCTGTTTTCCTCGCTTTTCGCTTCGCTTTTCGCTCTTGCGCGCGACTGGTCGGATGTAAAATTACAGCTCAATCCTCACACAACTTCCCCGCCCAGTGAGGTGCGACTGTGCGGAAAAAGTATAGGGCACACCGCTGCGTCTTTGATAGGCAGCATCTTTATGGACCACTCTAACCATTTTGGATAATTATTCGGAAAGTATCAGCCGGGATTCCCTAGCTAGTCCTGCTTAACCTTACAAGAACTCCTTGACATAATATCAAGGACGGCAAGGGTGAGGGATTAACCAAGGATACTGATACACATGATCAATCAATGTTAATAAGGGACGAGGTATTAAGGTTTGTAACTGAAGTCTTGACGCCAGCACTTGTTTATGACCTAATTACACCTTTAGGCATAATGAAATATTAACTCTAAACCTTATGCTCTGATGACCCCAGCTCAATCACATAAGGTCATTGATTGGAAAGAGACTTCTGGACAGAAAGTCTTGGGGATATTATGAAAATATTATGTCTTGAGGTAAAATAATTGGTCGCCCAGCTGAAACCAGTAGTAAGCACTATTTGAATCCTCGTCAAGTTTACATGGTAAGGATGCGCTAGGTCGGTCAACCGCATCCATCGTACCAGAATGAGAGATAATCTGCAATCTTGGCAGCTGGGATCCATATGTGCTGTATCAGTATACAAGGAATCTCCAATGTACCCAACGTGTGTTTGGAACTGCAATGATCCTATATGTATATAAACATCACATGCCGCTCCGTCAGTTAAACGTCATTAACTCACTCTACAATCTACCGCATTCTCTCCCTTCCAGCAAGCCCGCGCCCATATCAACTTTTTACCTTCTTCACTATGCTTCCCAAAGCTTCAACACTGCTGTTCCTGGCGTGGGCCAAGGCTTCTCTAGTCCTTGGCTGTGTTCCCCGCGCAGACAACCCAGATTTAGTCTTGGGGCCCGATACCCCTACAGCTCCCGAGACCATTGGCCAATTCATCAACCACGTGTCCCTCAACGTGAACAATCTCACGAGGAGCATAGAGTTCTATAGAGATGTATTTGGCATGCGGCACTTGTTCACGTTTAACTTGACGCCTCACATCAGTTTCAGCTACATGAGCCACAGCCAGGGCGGAAGGAACGGCAGCGCATACCAAACCACGGCGGAAATGCTCCGTTTCAAGAACAACAACGCGGGACATCTCGAGTTTGTCTACCTTAATACCACCGGGAACGACATCCCAGGTTCCCCTACGCAGACAAGCACGTTGAACCACATCGGCATAATTGTTCCGGACCTTGAAGCTGCCCAAAAGCGCCTGGAGTCCTACGGCGTTGAGATATACAAGAAGATCGGAGCCCCCATGCCGACTGATGCCTACACCGCCAATAAAAGCTCGGTGGGAGATGCATCAAACCTAAGCGACGAAGAATGGGCTACCTTCCAAGCTACCATGACCGAGTTCAACAAGCTGTGCATATTTGCGTCGGATCCTGACGGAAACCTTCTTGAGATCCTGCCTCTTAATGAGCCTAACATTTTTGCCAATTAAGCTTGCTTGTCATCGCATGGTTCACCACCGAAGTGGATGAGAGGCTGGAAAGCCACAAGATTAGCTGACGATATGTAAACCGGCTTTATGGATGCGAGGCATGCTAAGCTGGCGATGAAATTACCAATGCGGATGGACCGAGTACGGGGTAGATTTTATATTTCTTTTCGAGAGTGTACCTTTGAACGTTAGCCAACGCTATAGTCCCAGAAGGCACAAATTATTTCCAAACTCTAGACTTTAACTTTGTGGATTCAAGTTGCACATACTAGTGACGCCCATTTCGCCTCTTGATGTAGTCAGTGCCGCCAATTTCGACGTAAACAGCCACGTTGCTGGTCCAACTGCGGACGGCAGGGATAGGCTAGTTAACTACCTGGTTTAAACTCGGGCGGGTTCGACCTACGTAACTGCGGACATAGACTAAGCGATGGATGGCACATCATAGGCCCAGGGGCACAAGGACTCAAGCCTTATATGTAAGCATCAGTGACCAGCAACCCTTCGGCCACAAACCCAATGGCCCCCAGGGACGCAGGCGATTGGCCGGCTCTAGTGTAACTTGTCGGCCATACCTAAAACGGTTGCAACAATGTTTTGGTTTTGAGAAGGATCCCCGAAGACAACCTTAGACTGAAACGCATCTAAACCCGGCCCTTCTACTAACTTATCCTCAGCTTCGGAAAGACTTTGAGGGGTTGCTAATCAGGGCCATGTCCACAGTGTCTCGGGGAGCAATTATGGCTGCGTTCGTGCCCGGAGCGAAGGACTTCATTCGAGCACTAGTCACTGTCTCCTGCACTCACGTCAATGGCCCCATGATGGTGTCCATTAGCTGGCTTGCGTCTTACAGTTATCACTTCTTCCATCTCATAGCCTAAGACTAGTGATCCTTGCTCAGAGGCCTGTGGGACGAGGACTGTGCAAGTTGGCATAACGATGGTGAAATGTGAGTGTACGGATAGTACAGGCAGAGGTGAGATGACTAACGTGGTTGACGGTTGATCAAGTTCGATGCGGTGTGAGGGGAGCGGCGCGGGTCGTAAATGAGTTAAGTTCTCGAAGCCATCACCGCCCAAACAAGTTCCTATGTCCATGCATGGTGTGAGGGATATAGTAATGGGCCACACATGCGTTGTGATACCATCGTTTCGCTGGGTGGTGTTATTTGTATACAGAGATCCTGCCCAAGATTTGGGAGAGACAGATCGACTAAGACAGGCGAGGCCAAAATGTCTTACTTTTACTTCAAAAAGCAAAATTCTACCAAAAGCAAAGGTATAGGGGCTCAACCGGGATTTGAACCCGGGACCTCTCGCATTTAAGTCAAACCCAAAGCGAGAATCATACTACTAGACCATTGAGCCTGATCTGTGTGTTTAGTTCCATGTCGTCCAGTCCATCAAATACATGACTCGATTAACCAGTGAGGTAGACATTCAAAGCATGTTCTCTTCTACAACAAGATATCGCCCCTTTGTGAATTCGCGATCAACCTAGCCGTATATTAATTGGGCTTGCTAAGCATTACTTGATACTCCCTGCAATACCCTGTCTTGCTATCAGCAGCCTTTCCGCGACTTGGGTGTGGACACCACATCCCCAGAAAAACGTGAAGGATTCTTGAATCTACGTGTCAGTTCCCAGCATCCGGGAATACAATTATTTGCATCTCTCGATGTTCGAGCGAATTACTTATACAACTTAAAGCCCTCCTTTCTTGGCAGCTCATGACAAGCTTGGTAATGAAAGAAACTTCGGTAGTAACAGTTTATGATCCAGGGTAGTTGAGCTATCCATAGGTTGCTCATGGAAAGTCACGTGGGGTCAAGCAGAACCCTACGCTTTGTGATATTTTCACTGGAAACAAAAGCTCAAGCTACCATAGATAGACGTCGTCGCCACAAACCAGCTTGGAATCACCGAAACGGGATTTGAAGAAACAATCATGTTAGACGTTGCATTCAGGCTTGTTTACTTTAAGCTTCGCCAACGGCACTTAACCTTTCACAGGAGCAATAGCGGTTGATGTCCCCGCCACAATGGACCACCCTTCACAACGATAGTCTAGAGTATAAAAAACACCAATTTAACCAACAGGCTCAAGAACCTAAGAGTGTAGATCTATTGCGGAACTGACTATTGAATTTGCGGTGAATATACTATGGATGCCGCCAACTTTGATGACAAATATTACTGTGGTCATATGATGTCCAAGGGTAGAGTTGGCACATCTGTTTTTACCCTGTGGCAGGGCGCTATGAAGACTACACTGTTGAGCACTCCAGACTATACGGGCATGTTGCAGGGTGGCTTATAGGTGCCTCTCAAACAGTCTACTGGGTCACATATATGGGCCAATCCAGCCCGTGAGTATCTGGATTCAACTTTTCCTTTACGCCTAGTACACCTGATCGAATAAGGTTGTAGCGATTGATACAAAAATCCTAGAGCGCCCTTACGCCATCAACATATCTTCTGCCTTCTTAAACTCGGTAATAATTTCCTTCACAGAATCTATTGGCATTGCCTCAACCTTTCGTCCCATATTCCCAATCATAGTCTCGGCCATACATAGCGCATTGTAGATGGCCTCCTCAGTCGCATCAGCAGCAGCTTCGAACAATCCATTAATCGTCTGGTCATCCACACTAGTGATATCAAAAGTCCTAGCCTGGAATGGATCGACTTTCTTTGTCTGCCCTGTAACCGTCTGAACGGGAATTTCATTGGCGGTAGAGAAGGCGAGGAATAGATCTCCAGAAGGATTGTGTGCATATCCACCAACGCGTGCGAGGCCAATAGTCGCGCGTTTGGCAAGTCTTTGTAACTGGTGAGGGAGAAGGGGTGCGTCTGTGGACAATATGATGATGATTGAGCCGTCTCGTGTATCCTTGGCGTTGTCAAAATCTTGATGATGCGACGCGGCAGCGAGATTTCCTTCGGCCTGTTTCTGGAGAATTCTTCCGACAGGTATACCTGAGATACGTAGATCTCGGAGTCTACCGTAGTTTGTCTGCACAAGTGCCGCAACAGTATAGTCCTCCCCTCGCTCGGCGGGAACGACTCTACTGCTGGTACCTGTGCCACCCTTGTACCCTTGACACATCATTCCTGTACCTCCGCCACTATTGCCTTCGGTGACCGGGTCGGAGGATGCCGTTCGAATGCTCTCCACCACATGCTCTGGGGTTATAGCAAAGTGGCGAAGATCATTCAAATGCCCATCAAATGTCTCAGCGACAACAGGAAGTAAAAACCAGTCTACTCCGTCTTCGCCCTGCCCATACTTCTCAATGGCATACTTATAGATGCCTGTGTAACAAGGTCCAACTGCGAAACTGTTTGTGATAAGTATGGGAGAGTGGAGAAGACCACTCTCCTCGATCCAGTGGCTGCCGGTCATCTCTCCGGACCCGTTGAGCCGGAAGATGCCAGCATGGCAAGCTTTATGAAACCAGTCTTGCCGAGGGAGGATAGTTGTCAGTCCAGTATTGACTTGTCCATCCTTCTCACGGAGTGTGAGCGTATTCACGAGCACACCCGGTACGTCGGTAATGCCGTTCTGCTGTCCTGGCTTCCATGATCCAAGATGAAGATCAGGAAAGACATCCCTTACTCTTCCGCGGCTGCTTGCATTATTTTCCATTGTCGTGAGTGTTTCTAGAATCTCTAGAGAATTGGGTTGTCTCACTGGAGAAGACCTACCAGCTTTTAATAAGTCTGAGTCTAAATTGTTGATATATACAGTAAATGCAGGGATGTTTCCAAGTACGGGGGTCGTCGGTCAGTGACTCACACCGACCGCTTAAAAGTCTAGCAATCCCCGCATCTGCAGCTTGTTCTTATCGGGATCCCTGAGTCCGAAACTATACTTGGCATGTTTTAGGCCGATCCGATTGATTTAGCGTCTTAATAGTCTCCAGCAAGCAGGACTTTGTTTAATTCTAATCACGATAGAGGCATACACTCTCAAATACCCTTTGCGCTGAGCTCGGTAATCGAGGTGGAGCTCAACCGAAGAGAATATCTTGAATTATTGGACCTGTCGCTTTGGAACAGGACTTTTTCTCATGCAGATTGAAGCTTCTATCTTGGCAATTGAGTGAGCGTATAGTTGTCATTATACTTGAAGCGTGAAAGTACCATGACAGTTAAATACAGGCTCACCGATCTTACTTGAGCCGTCAGCCACATTACTCATCGATAGTTCGATACCATGCATGAGATGTGCTTGTTCAGCTTCTGTGGGATTCCAAGGCCCTTTAGTCCCATGCTACTATATATTTGATGGTTGAGACTTGCCTTTTCCCAGATCATTTGTGGTTTTGGCGCAAGTAGACCATCCTGACCCCAACTTTGACTCCACGAGATCCTGCTTATTTCAACTCTATGGTCAGAAAGCTTCCATGTCTGTACTCCAGTCTTACCGAATCCCGTACCATCACCACCTACTTGCCCTTTGAGATCATTCGTTACCTTAAGCATAACCCTAATTTCGTATTGGTGGTACCATCCGCTGCTCGTCTCCTGGCAATGTATTCAACGCAGATTTAAAGTCATAGTCATTCACCTGTAAGAGACTATTACTTATGCTGTTGGCGAAGATCATGCACTCCCAGGAGCTATACTTCTTACTGAAAACTATTGATACAAAGAAGACCGTAGCGATTAGTAAAAAATAGGACACTTCTGTTCAGACACGCCACAGTATTTAGGCTGACTCTCATTCATACGACCACGTCGTTGTTTGATCCTCTGTCTTTCTTCACATCCTACACCGTCTCATCTAGATTGCATGCAATCGCTAAGTTAACGACGAGTATCCTCTCCAACGTGACTCAAACCGGCTACATACCCATACTGCATTAGCATGCTTTCAACAAGCTTAGGGTCCTCGCTGATGCCTCCCTTCGTAGGCCTGGACACTAGTCTGGACACCAGCCGACTCCCACGCTCACACAAACTGAAACGCAATACTTCTTCTGTTACGTGTGCTACCGAGACGACCGGCGTGTGTTAAGAGCCCCCGGAAGCTCGATTTTCATGGGAAAGATTAACGTTACCTAATAATGTCAAACCGAGACTGTAGTGAGTTATCATACGAAAAAGTAGTATGATAGTCCATAGAACTACAGTAGTAGAAATTGTCAGGTGCACACGGTATCATTCTTGAGACATGGAGAGCTTGCAGGGCTGCCAAGTTACACTGAAACAATTTATCCGCAAGACTGGAAGCTCCAGGCTGGACTCAACAACTTGCTCACGCAGTCACCCATGACTTTTGATAACGACCTACCTATTTCGCCAAACGGATCCGCAATCATCATGCTGTTGGTCCACCCCGGTAACTTCGTCCAATTATCAAGGCCAAGCTGTTATGAGAACCCCACAAGTTGACAGGGTATCAAACATGAAAAATGGGACAGGTTCCGATTCGTTACTTTACTGATACCCTCGGCTGGAGGAGACTTCGGATATAGCCGCAACGGAATATGATGTGATGTTCATGTGATGAATGCAGCTGATGCATTGCTGATGCTTTATCGACCTGCTTAGATTTCTCCCTCTCTCTAGTGTGACCTTCACTGTTCTTAGTTTTGTCGCCTGTAACAATATTAGTAAAGTTGATCATGGCTGGAGAATCGCCCAAGTCTGGTCATAGTACACCGCCCGCCGAGGTTCGTCCCCCAATCATCCAGCGTATTGTCAGTATCGATATTCTACCTCTCCGCAATAGACTAAACTGATGTTCAACTGGGATAGGATGATCTCAACGACGGCGACTCTTCGTTCGATGAGGTGAGCAACTGCAAACATACAATGGATATTCGCCAAAAGATCTTGCGTTAATGTTTCTTTTGCAGATATCAGCTTTCAGCGACACAGCATCTCTTGAATCTAGCATTCTCAAGTACCGTGTTCAGAATGGCCGCACTTACCACGCATACAAAGAGGGATGTAAGAATACCCGGCCATCGTCAACGATAATAGCTAACTCAAAAAATTTTATAGCCTATATTCTGCCCAATGACGACGTACGTAGTCTTCTCTCCGGTGTTAGAAATGTTTATACTCACAAGTCGTGGGCTCTTAGCGAGAGAATGATCGTCTAGGTATGAAACTCAAAACAGCCCAAGATGGTTTAGTAATTTCAACTAATGCCTCCTGGATCAACAACATCATCTAGCTCTACTGACGCTTAACGACCGTCTGTTTGCTGCCCCTGTGGAGGCGAAGCCGCCATTCAAACGTGTTCTTGACGCTGGATGCGGGACAGGAATCTGGTCAATGGATTTCGGTACGTCGTGTCCATATATGGATAAGTAGGGATCTAACAATACCAGCCGATGAGCACCCAGAAGCC